CAACAACCCTCTAGTCAAATCCCTAAAACCGGATCAATCCCTCCTTAAGCAGACTTTTTTTAAGGAAAGGTCATCATGACTAGCTTTATTAAAATTAAAACACGGTTACATCGTCTACGAGCTTACCGTCAACAATGTCAGGGGGCTCGTTTAGCCAACTAAAAGAAGACTTATTACAATAGCTATGACTTGCTAGCACGTGAGCCACTTGATTACAAGAGTAAAGACAATGCTTGAAAGTGACCTTCCCGATCATAGTACCTATATCCACACACTCTGCAAATAAAGCTGCTGCTTCATCCCACCATCTCGTGTGGCCAGTACAGAAGTTAATGACTTCGAGTGAATCTGATTCCGCCTCGATCTGGTTAAAACCGAGAGAATTTGTAAATTCCAAACCATCTCTCATAGCCATTGCTTCAGTGGTAATAGCATCGGCCGCATATGGGATGAACTTACATTGCGCAGCAACAAAGTTCCCCCTATCATCTCGAAGCACAGTCGATGTCGCATCTAACCCCTCATCTGCAAAGAATGCTGCATCAACATTTAGTTTAGTATATCTTGGGTCTGGTTTACTCCATCTTGTTTCAGGCAATACTACAGTACGTGAGGAAGCCATATGAAAGTTCCTTGCTACAGATAGGACTGAGATCGACCATCTTCAGGTTGGTGGTACCGACTCATTATGCGTGATTTGCCGCCGGATCCACCATATATACCAACTTCCTACAGCCAGTGCTTGTTTAAAATTGACGTTTGGATGTACCTGTAGGTGGTTATCCGGTAGTGACAACATATACTCAAATATGGTCGAGCCTGATCTATCTACATGTAATGAATGCTCAATGAATTCCAGCATACCCAATCGCTCCCATAGCTCACTTGCATGCGTGCATCTAAACAGAAGATGTCGGATGTCTTCTGCCCCTTGGTGTCAAATAGGACAAGAACCAATGGATCCAACATGTCTATTTGCCAGTATAGCTTTAAGAGGCACCATTCCTCGCAGAATCCTCCAACAAAAAATCTGAATTTTACGTGGCACCGGAAGTTTTCATAGAGTAGTCCATACTGCTAGGTGGGCGGACCTTCCTGGTCTCTCTATCTCAGTTGCATGCGCCCTAAAAGTGTGTAACCACTGCAAGTGATACACTGTTCTAACCGAAAAAACTCCAGTTCTGTTTGGCTGCCATGCAACAAAGTCATCATAAGCTTGATAATGAATAGGAATCTGCAATATCCTTCGAACATCTACAGGGTAAAATATAGCTTCAAGCAGCGTCTCATCCCATGTGCCAGTTGAAGGGTCAATTAATTCACCCACCTTGGACAGAATTGTTTCCCCTTTCGGCGTGATCACCTTCATATATGGGCTAGCAGGTATCCACGGGTCGTTTCAAATATTGACTTCCTCTTCGGTTCATATTCTCCAAATATATCCTTTTTTAAAAGTTTCTAGCCTCTTCAAGTAAGCTCCCGTTGGGAAAATATTTAGTTTTTAGTACTCTTGCTACCAAAGAATCCGGGTCAGTTATGAGTCTCCAACTCTGTTTCACTAATAGAGCTAAGTTGAAAGAGTAGAGATCACGAAAACCCATACCTCCTTCACTTTTCGAAATACAAAGCTTCCACCATGCCATCCAGTGCATCTTCCTATGTTCTTCATCATCCCCCCACCAAAACTGAGCAATAACATCCATGATTTCTTTGTAGACCCCCTTGGGTATACTAAAGACAGACATTGCAAAAACCGGAATAGCCTAGGCCACTGCTTTTAATAAAATTTCTTTTCCCCCAATAGATAATTGCTTTTCCATCCACCCTAATATTCTCACTTTAATTCTTTCAACAAAATGCCTGAAACAATCACTTCTATCTGCCCCAACCATAGCTGGAAGACCAAGATACTTATCTGACAGTGCTTCTGTGTCAATATGAAGAATTTGGCATATCTCTACTCTGGACACAACACTGGTATTAGGACTGAAAAATATGCTGGATTTAGCCAGACTCACCATCTGCCCTGAACTTTGACAATAGGTATCCAATACTTGCTGTAAGGAAGTTGCATTTAAAACATCTGCGCTCATGAGAATTGGAGAATCATCAGCAAAAAAAAGGTGTGATACTGACGGTGCATTCCTGCACACTCTAATCCCATCCATGCCACAAACTTCTTCTTCATACTGCAACATACTGGACAATCCTTCTGCACAAAGGAGAAACAAGTATTGGGAGAGAGGATCTCCTTGTCGAATACCCCTCGTAGGGGTGAACATCTCTGTTTCTTGGGAATTGAATCTCACCTTGTATCTAACAGAGGAAACACATGCCATAATCATATTTATCCATTGGCCATGGAATCCCAATTTCTCTATCATTCTTCTCAAAAATGTCCACTCCACCGAGTCATATGCTTTATGCATGTCTAGTTTCACTGCACACAGGCCCGTTTGCCCTGCTCTCTTATTTTTTTTCTTATGGACACATTCATAGGCAATAAGAATATTATCACTAATCAACCTCCCAGGTACAAATGCACTTTGAGTGGGGGAAATAATATCCGGAAGAATTACTTTCAGCCTAGCGGCCAACATTTTTGAGATTATCTTATATAGCACGTTACATAAGCTAATGGGTCTGTACTGTGTAATTACCTCAGGTGAGTCAACCTTGGGGATCAGAACTATTGATGTATCATTCCATTCCTCCGGTATTTGCCTAGAGTTTATAGCAAAAAGGACCTCCTGTGAAATATCATCTCCTAGAATATGCCAGAATTTTTTAAAAAAGATCGCATGGAGGCCATCGAGCCAGGGTGCCTTCAGGTCCCCTATACTGAACACTGCTTTACGTACATCATCATGTGTATACAGAGCCATTAACATGGTATTCATTTGATCTGTCACCTTTGGCTGGACTTTGTGGATGATTGAGGGATCAACATGTTGAACTTCCGAGGAAAATAGATTAGCGAAGTAGCTCTGGATATGTGAACTAAGGGTTGTTGTACCTTCCAATACGTTACCAACTCCATCATTAAGCTTCTTAATGAGATTTCTTTTCCGGCGTGCAGATGCATAGGCCTGGAAAAACCCGGTGTTACGGTCATTGCTACCTCTTGAGCACTGCGTTGGTTTTCCCCGAAGAGGAAGGGATGATGCCGCAAAGTAGCGTAAGTATTTCCCTCGGTTTTTGAGAACCAAGGTATCAATCCAGTAGGAGGCTACGCGCGAGTCCCTCGTACCTGCACAAAACAAATAAATCCTCGCAACCAACGCAAATAGGGGTTGTCAATCCCTATGAGGCCACTTACAAGAGTGAGATCTGATAGATATGATAAAGATAATATTTTTGGTTTTTTATGATAAATATGCAAAGTAAAATAAAGGCAAAGTAAATAGCAAAGTAGTAGGAGAACAATATGATAAAGATAGACCCGGGGGCCATAGGTTTCACTAGTGGCTTCTCTCGAGAGCATAAGTATTCTACGGTGGGTGAACAAATTACTGTTGAGCAATTGACAGAATTGAGCATAGTTATGAGAATATCTAGGCATGATCATGTATATAGGCATCACATCCGAAACAAGTAGACCGACTCCTGCCTGCATCTACTACTATTACTCCACTCATCGACCGCTATCCGGCATGTATCTAGAGTATTAAGTTAAAAACAGAGTAACGCCTTAAGCAAGATGACATGATGTAGAGGGATAGACTCATGCAATATGAAGAAAACCCCATCTTGTTATCCTCGATGGCAACAATACAATACGTGCCTTGCTGCCATTATTGTCACCGGGAAAGGACACCGCAAGATTGAACCCAAAGCTAAGCACTTCTCCCGTGGCAAGAAAGATCAATCTAGTAGGCCAAACCAAACTGATAATTCGAAGAGACTTGCAAAGATAAC